CAGTTTTCCCCCCCAAGTCCCCATTTTTCCCCCCAAAAATCCCCATTCTTTCCCCCAAATCCCCCATTTTTTCCCCCAAAATCCCATTTTCTTCCCAAAAATCCCCGTTTTTTCCCCAAAATCCCCAATTTTTCCCCCCAAAATCCCCATTTTTCCCCCCAAATTCTCATTTTTTCCCAAAATCCCCGTTTTTTCCCCCATTCTCCCCCCCGGTCTCACCGTGGCCGTGGCCGTGGCCGCAGTGCCGGACGCCCAGCTCCACCCCCAGGAAGGCGACGATTCCTGCCAGGACCCAGAGCCCCACGGCCAGAGCCTGCCCTGCCCAGCCAGAGACCAAAATGCACCCAACGGACCCAAAATGGGACAAAACGGACCCAAAATGCACCCAAACGGACCCAAAATGGGACAAAACGGGCCCAAAATGCACCCAAACGGACCCAAAATGGGACAAAATGGGACAAAATGGGACAAAACGGACCCAAAATGGGACAAAACGGACCCAAAATGCACCCAAACGGACCCAAAATGGGACAAAACGGACCCAAAATGGGACAAAATGGGATAAAATGGACCCAAAATGGGACAAAATGGGATAAAATGGACCCAAAATGGGACAAAACGGACCCAAAATGGGACAAAATGGACCCAAAATGGGACAAAATGGGATAAAATGGACCCAAAATGGGACAAAATGGACCCAAAATGGGACAAAATGGACCCAAAATGCACCAAAATGGAGCAAAAATGGGACAAAATGGGCCCAAAATGGGACAAAATGGGATAAAATGGAGCAAAAATAGGACAAAATGGAGCAAAAATGGGACAAAATGGAGCAAAAATGGGTCAAAATGGACCCAAAATGGGACAAAATGGAGCAAAATGGGACAAAATGGAGCAAAAATGGGACAAAATGGACCCAAAATGCACCAAAATGGGATAAAATGGAGCAAAAATAGGACAAAATGGAGCAAAAATGGGACAAAATGGAGCAAAAATGGGTCAAAATGGACCCAAAATGGGACAAAATGGAGCAAAATGGGACAAAATGGACCCAAAATGGGACAAAATGGACCCAAAACGGGACAAAATGGACCCAAAATGGGACAAAATGGACCCAAAATGGGACAAAATGGAGCAAAATGGGTCAGAAATGGGTCCAAAATGGGTCAAAATGGAGCAAAATGGGACAAAATGGACCCAAAATGCACCCAAATGGAGCAAAATGGACCCAAAATGGGCCAAAATGGACCCAAAATGGGTCAAAATGGACCCAAAATGGACCCAAAATGGGACAAAATGGGTCAAAATGGACCCAAAATGGAGCAAAATGGGACAAAATGGACCCAAAATGGGTCAAAATGGAGCAAAATGGGTCAGAATGGACCAAAATGGGTCAAAATGGGTCAGAAATGGAGCAAAAATGGGACAAAATGGACCAGAAATGGGTCAAAATGGAGCAAAATGGACCCAAAATGGGACAAAATGGACCAAAATGGACCCAAATGGAGCAAAATGGGTCAAAATGGACCCAAAATGGGTCAAAATGGACCAAAAAAGGGTCAAAATGGGTCAGAAATGGGTCAAAATGGACCCAAAATGGACCAAAATGGGTCAAAATGGACCCAAAATGGACCAAAATGGCCCCAAAATGGCCCAAAATGGACCAAAAATGGACCCAAAATGGACCCAAACTGACCCAAAATGGGAAAAATGGACCCAAAGTGGCCCAAAATAGGCTCAAAATGGTCTAAAATGGCCCAAAAATGACCCAAAATGTCCCCAAATGTCCCCAGATGTCCCCAGATGTCCCCAAGGTGTCCCCAGGGTCTCACCGTGCCCGTGGTGGGAGTGGCCGTGACCCTCGTGGTGCTCGTGGGGGGCTGTGGGGACAAAAGGGGTCCCCAAAGTGTCCCCAAATGCCCCAAAACCACCCCAAAATGTCCCCAAAGTGTCCCCAAATGCCCCAAAATCTCCCCAAAATGTCCCCAAAGTGTCCCCAAATCGGCCAAAATCACCCCAAAATGTCCCCAAAGTGTCCCCAAATGCCCCAAAATCACCCCAAAATGTCCCCAAAGTGTCCCCAAATGCCCCAAAATCACCCCAAAATGTCCCCAAAATCGCCCCAAACAGCCCCAAAAATGCCCAAAAACACCCAAAAAAACCCCAAAACGTCCCAAACCACCCCTAAAACTGCCCCAAAACACCCAAAAATGTCCCAAAACCAACCCCAAACACCCCAAAATGTCCCAGACCACCCCAAATCAGAACAAAATCGCCCCCAAACAGCTCCAAAACGCCCCAAAAACACCCCAAAACGCCCCAAAACACCCCAAAAACAACCAAAAAAACCCCAAAACTCCCCAAAATGACCCAAAACACCCCAAAAACACCCAAAACTCCCCAAATCGCACCCAGGGCGTGGGGGATGAGGTGCAGGAAGGTGTCCCCCAGCAAACCCCAAAACAGCCCCAAAACCAGCCCAAAAAAACACCCCAAAACCTCCCCAAAATGTCCCAAAACCACCCAAAAACCGCCAAAAACAACCAAAAACCAACCAAAAATACCCCAAAACACCCCACAATGTTCCAAAACACCCAAAACCAGCCCCAAAACCAGCCCAAAATGTCCCAAAACCACCCTAAAACGCCCCAAATCATACCAAAATCAACCCCAAACAGCCCAAAAACACCCCAAAAACAACCAAAAAAACCCCAAAACTCCCCAAAATGACCCAAAACACCCCAAAAACACCCAAAACTCCCCAAATCGCACCCAGGGCGTGGGGGATGAGGTGCAGGAAGGCGTCCCCCAGCAAACCCCAAAACAGCCCCAAAACTGCCCAAATACAGCCCCAAAATCAACCCCAAAACAGCCCCAAAACAGCCCAAAACTGCCCAAATACAGCCCCAAAACAGCCCCAAAAACAACCAAAAAACACCCCAAAACACCCCAAAATGACCCAAAACACCCAAACCAGCCCCAAAACCAGCCCAAAATGTCCCAAAACCACCCCAAACCACCACAAATCATACCAAAATCACCCCCAAACAGCCCCAAAACCGCCCCAAAACTGCCCAAATACAGCCCCAGAAACACCCCAAAAACAACCCAAAAACAACCAAAAAACACCCCAAGAACCACCCAAAACCACCCCAAAAACACCCAAAACTCCCCAAAATGACCTAAAACACCCCAAAACGCCCCAAAACGTCCCAAACCGCACCCAGGGCGTGGGGGATGAGGTGCAGGAAGGCGTCCCCCAGCAAACCCCAAAACAGCCCCAAAACTGCCCAAATACAGCCCCAAAATCAACCCCAAAACAGCCCCAAAACAGCCCAAAACCGCCCAAATACAGCCCCAAAACAGCCCCAAAAACAACCAAAAAACACCCCAAAACACCCCAAAATGACCCAAAACACCCAAACCAGCCCCAAAACCAGCCCAAAATGTCCCAAAACCACCCCAAACCACCACAAATCATACCAAAATCACCCCCAAACAGCCCCAAAACCGCCCCAAAACTGCCCAAATACAGCCCCAGAAACACCCCAAAAACAACCCAAAAACAACCAAAAAACACCCCAAGAACCACCCAAAACCACCCCAAAAACACCCAAAACTCCCCAAAATGACCTAAAACACCCCAAAACGCCCCAAAACGTCCCAAACCGCACCCAGGGCGTGGGGGATGAGGTGCAGGAAGGCGTCCCCCAGCAAACCCCAAAACAGCTCCAAAAACACCCCAAAACTGCCCAAATACAGCCCCAAAAACACCCCAAAAACAACCAAAAAAAACCCAAAAAAACCCCAAAACGCCCCAAAACACCCCAAAACGCCCCAAAAACACCCAAATCGCACCCAGGGCGTGGGGGATGAGGTGCAGGAAGGCGTCCCCCAGCAAACCCCAAAACAGCCCAAAACCACCCCAAAAACAACCAAAAAAAACCCCAAAAACATCCAAAAAAACCCCAAAACTCCCCAAAACACCCCAAAACACCCCAAAATGTCCCAAAATCGCACCCAGGGCGTGGGGGATGAGGTGCAGGAAGGCGTCCCCCAGCAAACCCCAGAACAGCCCCAAAACACCCCAAGAACCTTCCCAAAAACTGCCCAAAAACACCCCAAAACACCCCAAAACCACCCCAAAACACCCCAAAATGTTCCAAAACACCCAAAACCCAAAATGCTCCAAAACACCCAAAACCAGCCCAAAATGTCCCAAAACCACCCCAAAACACCCCAAATCACACCAAAATCAACCCCAAACAGCCCCAAAACCACCCCAAAACCACCCCAAAACTCCCCAAAAACACCCCAAAAACACCACAAAACACCCCAAAACAACCCAGAACGCCCCAAAACTCCCCAAAAACACCCAAACCGCCCCAAAACGCACCCAGGGCGTGGGGGATGAGGTGCAGGAAGGCGTCCCCCAGCAAACCCCAAAACAGCCCCAAAAACACCCCAAAACTGCCCAAAACTGCCCCAAAAACACCCCAAAAACACCCAAAACTCCCCAAAATGACCCAAAACACCCCAAAAACACCCCAAAACTCCCCAAAATCGCACCCAGGGCGTGGGGGATGAGGTGCAGGAAGGCGTCCCCCAGCAAACCCCAAAACAGCCCCAAAACTGCCCAAATACAGCCCCAAAAACCTCCCCAAAATGTCCCCAAAACCACCCCAAAACTGCCCAAATACAGCCCCAAAAACAGCCCAAAAACAACCCAAAAACAACCAAAAACAACCAAAACACCCCAAAATGACCCAAAATGACCCAAAAACAACCCCAAACACCCCAAAATGTCCCAGACCACCCCAAATCAGAACAAAATCGTCCCCAAACAGCTCCAAAACCACCCCAGAAACACCCCAAAACAGCCCCAAAACACCCCAAAAACAGCCAAAAAAACCCCAAAAAAACCCCAAAACACCCCAAAATGAACCAAAATGCCCCAAAACTCCCCAAAGCGCCCCAAATCGCACCCAGGGCGTGGGGGATGAGGTGCAGGAAGGCGTCCCCCAGCAAACCCCAAAACAGCCCCAAAAACACCCCAAGAACCTTCCCAAAATGTCCCAAATACAGCCCCAGAAACACCCCAAAAACAACCAAGAAAACACCCCAAAACACCCCAAAACACCCCAAAATGACCCAAAACCAACCCCAAACACCCCAAAATGTCCCAGACCACCCCAAATCAGAACAAAATCGTCCCCAAACAGCTCCAAAACCACCCCAAAAACACCCCAAAACAGCCCCAAAACACCCCAAAAACAACCAAAAAACACCCAAAAAACCCCAAAACACCCCAAAACGACCCAAAATGCCCCAAAACTCCCCAAAATGTCCCCAAACCGCACCCAGGGCGTGGGGGATGAGGTGCAGGAAGGCGTCCCCCAGCAAACCCCAAAACAGCCCCAAAAACACCCCAAAACTGCCCAAATACAGCCCCAAAAACACCCCAAAAACACCCCAAAAAATAACCAAAAAAAACCCAAAACACCCCAAAATGACCCAAAACACCCAAAACCAGCCCCAAAACCACCCCAAAACGCCCCAAATTATACCAAAATCAACCCCAAACAGCTCCAAAAACAGCCCAAAAACACCCCAAAACAGCCCCAAAACACCCCAAAAACAGCCAAAAAAAACCCAAAAAAACCCCAAAACGCCCCAAAATGACCCAAAACACCCCAAAAACACCCAAAACTCCCCAAAATCGCACCCAGGGCGTGGGGGATGAGGTGCAGGAAGGCGTCCCCCAGCAAACCCCAAAACAGCCCCAAAAACACCCCAAGAACCACCCAAAAATCACCCTAAAACCGCCCAAAAACACCCCAAAAACAACCAAAAAAACCCCAAAACGCCCCAAAACGACCCAAAATGACCCAAAACACCCCAAAAACACCCAAAACTCCCCAAAAGCGCACCCAGGGCGTGGGGGATGAGGTGCAGGAAGGCGTCCCCCAGCAAACCCCAAAACAGCCCCAAAAACACCCCAAGAACCACCCAAAAATCACCCTAAAACCGCCCAGAAACAGCCCCAAAAACACCCCAAAAAACCCCAAAACACCCCAAAACAGCCCAAAAACACCCCAAAACACCCCAAAATGTTCCAAAACACCCAAAACCAGCCCCAAAACAAGCCCAAAATGTCCCAAAACCACCCCAAACCGCCCCAAATCATACCAAAATCAACCCCAAACAGCCCCAAAAACAGCCCAAAAACAACCAAAAAAACCCCAAAACACCCCAAAATGACCCAAAAAGCCCCAAAACACCCCAAAATGTCCCAAAATCGCACCCAGGGCGTGGGGGATGAGGTGCAGGAAGGCGTCCCCCAGCAAACCCCAAAACAGCCCCAAAAACCAGCCCAAGAACCACCCAAAACCACCCCAAAAACACCCCAAAAAACCCCAAAACACCCCAAAACGCCCCAAAATGACCCAAAATGACCCAAAATCGCACCCAGGGCGTGGGGGATGAGGTGCAGGAAGGCGTCCCCCAGCAAACCCCAGAACAGCCCCAAAA